ATAAACACACCAATTAATAAACACACCAATTAATAAACGTAACACTTAATAAACACAGCAACACACCACTTAATATACACACCAATTGATAAACACACCATTTAATAAACACACCACTTAACACACACACCACTTAACCACACACCATTTAATATTACACACCAATTGATAAACACACCAATTGATAAACACACCAATTAATAAATATAACACTTAATAAACACACCAACACAACACTTAATATGCACACCACTTAATATACACACCACTTAACACACACACCATTTAATATACACACCACTTAATAAACACACCAATTAATAAACACACCACTCAAAAAACACACCAATTAATAAATATAATGCTTAATACACGTAACACTTAATAAACACATAAGCACACCACTTAATATACACACCAGTTGATAAACACACCAACACACCACTTAACACACAAACCATTTAATACACACACCAATTAATACACACACTAATTAATACACACACCAATTAATTCACACACCAATTAATCCAGACACCACTTTCTAAGGTTAATCAGAGAATGTGTGTCCGTGCACAGGGGAGTTTCAGGGGCTCAGTACCTTGACAGTCTCGTACCAGCAGGGCTGCTTGACCTGGTAATAAACCACAGACTTGTACTCGGAGACGCCGTCGTAGCCCGCGCCGGGGTGGATGGCTTTCTTTGGCCACGGGAAGGGAAAAAAATGTGATTTTTTTTTTTATTTTTGGATTATTTTGGGGTGTGAATGGTCAGAGGGGTGGCTGGGACTCTCTTACCTCCTGCAGGTTGCCGTCCTCATCGTGCACAGACATGGTGACCTCGACGTTCTTGGGGGTTTTCTTCTTGCCTTTGTCGAAGTCGCCCTGGATCAGGGTGACGTAGATGTCATTGCGGATGTCCCCTGCAAATCCCACAGGTCCATCAGCTGGGCTCTCCTCCCCAGAGCGACATCTGAACATTTAACACCCCCGGGGACCTCAATTATCCTCATTGTCCTCTCAGCCCTTCATTAACAACACCTCGAAAGGTCGCGGGTTCATTCCTCACACGGAGCACCACTTTATTTTATTTTTTTAAAATTTTTTTCCTATTTTTTTGGGCGTTTTTTAGGTTTTTTTGTTTTGTTTTGTTTATGGTTTCTTTTGGTTTTTTGCTTCTTTATTCGGGTCAGGATTGAATGTTTGAGAGACGGAATTTTTTGTTTGGACTTAGATATTTATTACTTCTTAGTTATTAAAATAAATAAGTATAAATATAAGTGTGAATATAAATACAAATATAAGTGTGAATATAAATACAAATATAAGTGTAAATATAAATGTATATATAAATATAAATATAAATATAAATGTAAATATAAATATAAATGTAAATATAAATATAAATATAAGTATAAATATAAATATACATATAAATATAAGTATAAATGTAAAGATAAATATAAAGATAAATATAAATGTAAATATAAATATACATATAAATGTAAGTATACATGTAAATGTAAATGTAAATGTAAATGTAAATATCAATATAAGTATAGATAATATTTTTAAAATGTAAATATAAATAATATAAATGTAAATACTAAATTAAAAATAAAATGTGGGTTTTTCTATCCAATCACAAAAAATTACCTGGAGCCATGAAGAAGAAGGTGAAGAAGAAAGACAAAACTTCTGCCCTAAAACCTTCATATCTTGTTTTTTATACATTGTTCTGTTTTAAAACCTGAAAGTTTAAATTCTTCACCTTGTGATGCTACACCCTTCTATTCAAACTGCACACCTGGGA